AACATTTGTGCCTACTCATGACCCTGTGAAAAAACAATGGAGACGTGTGCCTTCCTACCCCAAACCAAAAAGAAAAAGAAGAAGCCAGAGTTTGATAGCTCACCAAGCTAGCGCCAAAGTTGTACTAGTGTATTAAAATGTTCTGGTTCTGTATACTTGTGGCGGTGATGGGGATTAAGGGCTATTGTACAGCTATTGGTATGATAAAAATTTAAATAAGTCTGCTTTAAAAAAATAAAAGTGAAAAAGAAGATGTATGACGGTTTCTCTCCAAACATCCTTCTTTGTTGCCTTTCTCTCATTTCACCAGAAGCTCCCTCCAACTTCCCTATCTAAAGGTGTGTGTGTGTGTGTGTGTGTGTGTGTGTTTGGTGTGCGAGAGAGGTTCTTTTTTTTCTTTTTTACAAGGATAAGTGAGAATCATGGAATTACAAAAGGAAAGGAAGTAACTCAGAGAATGGGAGACATGCTCTTTATAAGGAAGAGTAGGTAGGGATGAAGTAGGATTGTTTGATGAATTGCTACAATCTGTTATAAAAGCCAAAGGGCAGAAAGATAAGTGAAAAAGGATGCTTCCAGATGGAGGGGCCCTAGCACTAACAAACCAAAGGCATTATGCAATTATTTTGTCTTTACTTTCTCAATGCATTTTCCATAGGAAGAAAAAATAGGGAAGCTGAGATGCCTTGATTTCTTGTGAAAACAACAGTAGTGGGAAAACAAAGGAAGGTTATTAAGTAGAAGGTAATACCTGTGGTCCTCCAGTAAAATTCTGTTAACAACACAGATACAATATCATAATCAAAGCATTGTTAGGAAGTACTTGAAGAATTTGAAACAGATTTTTTTTTAAACCCACCTTGCAATGACTTTAGCAAAAAAGAAAATGAACAATGTGCGCCTGGGCTCGGAAGAACGTTTAGAGCTAGAAGGGTCTGGAAACACTCTGTAAAATTCCACTAATGACCCTAAAATAAAAGCTTTGTCAGGAAGCAAGCCTAATTGTAAGAACTTGTAAATAAGGAATTGGAGTTTCCATTAACCCAATCAACTAATACCCAATGCAATACTAACATAGGAAATGATGTATCAGCTACCAAGAAACATTTTGCTAAAAGCTCAATAAACATCAGCATCAATCTTTATATGGATTGAAGATTCACTCACATTTGAAATGAATTTAAAGCCCCCCAAGTGCATGTGAAACACAAGGACATCTACAACTCTGCATTACATCACACTACTAGAACAGGATACTGATGTTATAAACAATATGCAGATTCATTCAGGTTCTGAAACATGTCAAGTGCAAACTCCATTCCCTATATAGAGATTGCCTGGGCCTTGAAACAATGCAAGACTTCCAAGAAATGCTATTTAGCCAAGTATTAATATAAATAGACAAACGTGGAAACAACAACATACTGCACCTCCTTACCCACCACTCAAAAAGCTTTTAGACATTGCAATAACTAAACTGCAATCTGTTCTTTCTCAAGCTGATGCCCACACTCTTAGAACTCAGGTATGAAAATCTGTGCTTTCAATAGCTAATCCTGGGGACACAGCTCAGTGTTAATGGGAGAGTTGTTCCATAATCAGAATCTCCAATAGCAGCTGCAGCAGCACAGCATATGGACCAGACTAAAAATCAGGGCCACAGCATGGGTGAGCATTTGCTCACCTAACCCACTATTGTACCAGTGGGTTTTCCCCATCATGACAACTAGCAGATTCAGGAGTGGGGGGATTTTAACTGGGGAAATGGCACAAAGAAAAAGTACTAGCTTACCTTCCCCTACACTATGGCCCCAATCTAGTTTGGAGCTGGCCTTATGCCTACTGTTAATTCTTCTTTTTCTTTCATGGAATGTGATTTTATCTTGAAATAAAAGTTATAAAATAAAGGGAATAAAATAAGAAAAATATGCATAATAAATCAAGGCCACTAAAAAAAGCAATTCACTAATTCCCTACATATTTGATAAATGAAAGATGCTTTTTCTCGTGATTAAGCTACCAGTCCTAGATTATGCTGGAGGTATCAAATCATACATCAGTTATTACAGCTGAAGAAAGAAAAAACAAATTCAAAATGCTTGTCTTATGCCAAATAGGACTGGTGTACAGCAGGTTGAAATAAGACTTTTTCTGACAACATGCAACACGCTGCCAGTAGACTTATCATTGGCAAGCCAGTAGCAAGTCAAGTGTCAGCAGCTGGAATAGTTGGGCATCTGCCAGGCCCACACATGGGCTATGGTTCCTCCAGAGGACAAGAGCCCTTTTCTTAATGGAATCAATCACAACATGCAAATTATTTGGTGTAGCAAGACTCTGCCATGCACTCCATTTTAGAGCTGTTCAGGAGCACAGGAAGGAGGACCGATTGCTGAGAGCTGAGGTACCTTGGAGAGAACAAATGAACTACCCTGGTTTTCAAGGTTGAAGAGGAGAGAGCAAGCGTGCACAGATGCTAAATTAGTGCTTCCTGCACTCAATGTGGGCAGCAACTTCTCAGGGCAGGGTGCTTAGCACCAGGGGATTCCTCAGCATACAGTCCTGGCAGTACACACCAGGACTGCAACCTCCTGCAACCTCCATCTCCTGAAGCTAGGACATCCTCTTTCCAAGCATCCATTACAGCCTCTGTCCTTTCCTTTCTTGCAGCCAGATATCCAAGGCTGAAAGAGTCATTAAAAATTGGGAAAGAATGGCAACAGTCACCACCACTCCTGGCAGAACTGTTTTCTCCATCACATTTTAAAAGGCCCTTGTCACATGGTGTCCATGGACCCTGGATTTCTAATAACAGTGATCAGTTTTCTTTTAGAGAAAGAACTCTTGAGATTCTCATTTTTTTTCTTTTCCCCCTAGCTTCATATTTATGTCAGAGAGAAGAATCATACTTTCACATCCTGTTGGGTGTGTTTTCCTAGACATGAATTTGCAACGGTCCTGTCCTTCACCCTTTTTCTCACTGCCTGTTAAAGCTGCATGCATTTAGCCATTTACAATGTTCTCCAGCCTGCTGGAGTAGTTGACCCCACCTTTCATACCACAATCACTTTTTTGCAAGCCCTTTCAGACGTCCCTATGGGGAAATCTTGAATTAGACAAATGCTTTAGATGTCAGCTAATGCAGCTAGTCAGACATCTCACTGCAGGAGGATTCCATAGATTTTAAACCACAGGAGGCTGTAACACTTTGGAATAAGTGAGGAAATCAGTTAGTATGTTTTGCTAGAACACTTATAATCCTTTTGAGGGTATTTTGAGGGCTCCTTTACAAATTACAATAGAAAACCTGTGTTTTTCTATATGAATACATACTGTAAGAAGGCACAGCCACCAGGTCAAATTCCATATATGTTTTTAAACATTGTATTTTAAAATGTACTAAAATATATAGTATGTGTGTGTGTGCATATATAGTGTGATGTTACAATACACAATGACAGGCCATGCCTATCTGTGTCCATTTTCAGTTCTGCTTACAATATTAGTCAGAAACATCTGTGTCCGCCTTTAGAGAGAGAACGCTAGAGCAAAGACTTCCCAACTGTTAAATCTCAAATGAAGCCAGATTTCAATTCAAAGGATATAAGTTCAGTTTAGGCACACGTTGCTGTGTTCTCTTATTGGTACATTAAAAGGTCGTATGTTCAGTTCATGTACTTTCAGTTCATGTACTTAGGGCACCATCATCTAAGGCTGCCTGTACCTCTTTGAACTCAGAGGATTCATGAGCATCCAATGAAAGGCAAAAAGTGTGAAAGTGAAGGCTGCCACTGCATTCCCATTTAGATGATTCTGACCATCTAAATGTTTTCCCCCTCTTTGGACTGATCAAGGACGTCTCTTCTTATATTCATACCGCTTTTGCACACCATGCCCTTCAGACTCCTAAGACCTAGTGGGGAAAACAACCCTCCTCACCCTTGGGCAAAGCACTCCAAGGGCCTGTAGCAGTGAGATGTTGGGCTGGAAGCTCTCGCTGATTTAGCTGTCCAGCTAAGGGTAAGGGTTAAGGAGAAAGTGAGGTCTTGCAGAGGATGGTGATGCTTCACTCCTCCTCTCCCTGCCTCCTGGATCATGCTCCCGGCACTGACTCTTAAGATGGTCTTCTGTCTCCAGTGCCCTGCTAGTGAAGAAAAAAATTTGCCAGCTTGGATGGGGAGGGACTCGAAGGTTGGGCTCTGCAACTCTGTTCTATCCTATGCCCCACACATACTATGCTGGGAGGCCATAGGATCGTACCCTTAAGGAACTAGCTTGTTTTAGGGAATCCTGAGTGTGCTTGAAAGCCTGTGAGAATAGCCCCTGAAAAGGCTGCCTCCACTAGCTGTGCAATTGGCAGAAGTTCAGTGGATGGACCTGTTTCCCATAATTGCACTTTCACTTCAAATTGCTAAAGAAAAAAACCCGCTGTGTGCAGTGAGCAGGAAGAGGGATGGCAACCCTATAAATCTCCCTATTAAAATAAGCAAGGGAAAAGCCCTCCACAATTCTTATGCAATGCTATGGTTAGCCAGCTAAACATTATGAGATTCCCCATACTGCGGCCTATGCACCCAGCCCAAGACCAAAATTGCTACTTGGAGAAATCCTCATGGCTGAAGTATTACAAGATTCAGACAGTCTCAATTCTCCTGAAACTAGCCTTGCCAACTTTTTTTTTCTTTTTCTGTGTCTCCACTTTTCCCTTCTGGGCTGAGCTCCTGAACCTTTAACAGAGTCTTCCCAGATGTATACTCCAGATGTATCGGACTACAGCTCCCATTATCCCCAGCAAACCATGCCGTTGAACTGCCACTCCCATAATCCCTCATGCAGCCACAAGATGAACACCTTGAGCAGCTGAAGCTTTCCCCTCGAAAGCACAGACAATGACGCCGGCGGAAAAACTTGGCCCGTCGAATTGCTGCCTGCCAAGCGCAGCCTCCCGCTAAAGGAAGCACGCAGCGACTCGCGCGGCACCGCTACGCCGCCTTCCTTACCTGATCCCGAGAGCGGCGCGCGGAGCAGGTGGCTCTTCCTGAGCGTACAGAAGGAGGAGATGTCACTCTGGGTGCGGCCTCGAGGGCCGGCCTCGGTGGGCAGCTGCCACCAGCGCGACGCGGGGGACGAAGCCGCTTCAGCCTGCGAGCTCCCCTTTCGCTCGTCCATCCCCTCCTGCCAGCCGGCGCGGCCAGAGGACCGGCGCCGCCGGCCGCCTCTTCGCTGCCCAACGCTGTCTGGAGCAAGTTGGCGCCTTCCGCCGCCGCGGCAGAAGGTGTGGCGCCTCCCCGGTCGAAGGCTAACGCGGCAGCCGGCCGGGCGAGCAGCGCGCCAGAGCCCCGGCTGAGCGGAACGGCGAGAGAAAAGTTTTGACAGGAAGGGCCCGCCCACCGGCTCTCAATTCCCCTCGAGGCGGCTGGGACGGCGGCACGGCTTGCCGAGCCCGCCTGGCCACGGACAGCGGGAGGAATGCAGGCCACCGCTTGCCCGGGGCTTCCTTGCAGGGCAGCTTCAGCCCTGCGAAGCTGCGCCCCCGGAGTGCCTCGCCCAAGCGAGGAGCGGGTGGAGGGCGTGGGTGCAAAAGGGGCGCCGTGTCGGAGGATGCAACTAGTCCCGCATTCTGTGGCAAGATGCCAGCGGCAAGCAGGACGCGAGTGCGGCAGCTCCCTCCTGAAGGCGGACCCCAGCAACTGCAATATGCGCCCTCCCGGAGGCAGAATGTGATGGAAAGCCCAGCCTCAGGAGTGCTGACTGAAAGCCGTTTTCTTCAGGAATTTTCCTAACTCCCCTCTAAAGCCATCTGAATTGTTGTCTATCAAATGGTGTACATAGGGTCAAATGGTGTACATAGGTGTCTCTGTGTCCGCACACACAAACAGCTTGGCAAGTGGGGTAGGCTTCTAGCGTATCCAGGGGTGATTGGTACAGGGAGATGTTTTAACTGTTGCATGCTTTTGGAAAGAAACTTAGGGAAATGTACAGAGTTTGCACACCACATGATAGGTGTCAGAATCAGGCTACAAAATGTTTCAGAAGACATTATGTGAGATTTTTTCTTCTTCTGAAATCACTTCCCAGGAAAAAAATAAGCAGCCACATGTAGGATTCTCTTGCATATTGGGGCATTTTGCAGCATGTACATGAAATGGAAAGCCACAACTGAAGCTATCTAGATGTTACTCTGAGGCCAATCTTTGGGTCACCCTGACAGTCAGAGGTGAGGTAGTTGGCAACCTGGGATAAGGCCTTTTTGGGGGGAAGGGTCTAACAGCACCCATATCTTTGGAATGCCATCCCCAACCAGTTCTGGCTGGTAACAGGGCTGATGTGTTTTCAGCATCAGGAGACATGTTTATTTGCCTGGAGCGCTTGCATACTTATTAAAATACAGTGTTAGCCATGCTTGACTCCACCTTTATTCTGTTTAACAGTTACTGGTTGCTCTCTTGTTTTCAGTGTTATGTGTCCTAGTTTAGCCAGTGTTTTAATTACTACTTTTAGAATATGGTGAAACATTGCTAAATAAATAAATGGATACAGTTTTCCAATGAAGTTTTATACAGCTTTCACAATGGAGACAGATTTAATGCTCTAGTTCAATGCACAGTTTTACAAGCTGGAGTATACTAACAGACTAGATCTTACTGCATTCTTAACACAGTTACTGTACCCTTCCAGATATGGATATATGGTTTTCCTGCGACTTCATGGATGGAGGCCCTGTGATTTAACTTCCTGGAAATATGCCACCTGAATCTGTCCCTACCTAGCTGGTTCATTTGGCCTGTTGCCTGCAAAAAAGCCCTTCCTATTTCTTCTACCAGTATGTCACTGCACCAATACTAAGAGATAGGGAAGAAGCCCAATGGAAGCTCATAGATCATCATCCTGCACCAACACTCGTGCAGCACAGAGAGGAATTCCCTTTGTAGTGAAGCAGAAAACAGAACAGAAGATAAGGCTATAAAAGTTGCATTACACCATTACTTGCAAGTACAGCTCATTGGCTCTAATAGAACTCCATTCCTCAAAAGTTAATTTAGACGTGCATTGATTGACTGAATACTTTTATAGCCTGCCTTTCTTAGCAACTTTCCTAAGGGCACAGCCTAATCTGTCTGCCTGTAGCCCTCTGAACTCAGAGGATTCTGGGCATCCTGTGCAGGGTAAAAGGAGCATGGAAGGGAAGGTCACCTCCACACCCCTCCTGCTCTGAAAAACAGCCAGTTGTAGCCATCTAAGTGTTACACCCCAGAGGGCAAAAAAAGGGAGGCTGAAGGTATTGTGACAGGGCTTGTCTCCTATCCTTATGCTGCCTCCCCTCCCCAGTATGTGGACTGTCTTGCAACCTTGTCACCTCAGCTGGTGTGGTTCTTTCCACACAGGTTGTTGGAGCCCCAGCACCAATCTCAGAGCAAGCTTCCAGGGTCAGAGCTAGGACTCCAAACAATTGAATAACCTTAATAATAATTAAAACATTCACAAAATACAACCATAAAAACAATGAATAAAGGCAAAAATACAGGTCACATGAGGCATAATTCTATGTTCTCTCTTCACAACGTGGCACAGCACAAACATTCCAACAGAAAATAAATGTTTCTGTAATTACATAAGACAAAAATACATTTCTTTCTACACCTGAGAAGAAAACAAAAAGGAACAAATCATTGGGCATTTTTAGAATGACAAGTATTACATAACTCTATATGTTTACAAATGGTTGTTCAAGTGTAACCCAAACATCAACCTCTGTATGGAGTTGATTTACAGCATCTAATGCAGCTTTTAAAACCATGTTTCATTTTGCCACTGGCTCCAACTGGGCAAAGCAAAATAATATAAACCGTCTTACTCGTACATTCATATGGCATTGTAATGTCCATCATGTGTTTGACATGAAGTCGCTAGGTAGTGAACAAAAAATCAATAGTTTCATTAAAATTGCATGGAAAGTGCTCTAATACCTGTTCCTTGAATCAGCGGTTACACTATACAGCAGTTTTGTCTTCCATTTAGTTTCCTCTTTATTGGCAGAATAGTCATAGGCTGACTTGTACACTGTGGTATGAAAGCCTATCATGTTAAATATTGCTGTGCAACAAGATTTAAAGTGATTTACTCACATTTCAGATGGATACTGGACCATTACATTTAGCTAAAGACATAGATTTGCAACACTGGGCTGTCAGAACATAAAGACTGGCTTTAATTAGGCAGGTCCTAATTAGGCAGGCAGTGGCTCAGGGTCTTCCACCACAAAAGCAAACTCCCACTGTGATTTTCTTTTACTGCAGTTTCCCTCCTTTTATTTGTACAAGCCCAAACAGAAAATAAGTATGAAAACCTGTGATAATTTCTAGCACTTAAAAATAAGGAATGCATTCACACGTAACGATAAGCCATGTGACACAGTTACTGCATGGCATGGAATCTCAGCTTATGTCCTGAGCTCAGACAGGCAAATGGTTTCCATACTTCTCAATTTTCTCTCCGAATGGCAGCATGTATCCCACCATCCACTACAGCTCAAAGTCAGTCCCAGCATGCATTGCTCCTGCCTGTGTTGCCTGCCTGTCTCTCACTCGCCCACATACTCCCCTAGCCATGGACACAATTGGCCTCCTTTTTTGCTTTGTTTTCCACTGCTTAGAAGAAGCAACTGGCTACTCATCTCTCTAGCGCCTAGGCAGATGGTTCCACTGTGGTATTGCTCTGACTGTGTGGAAGCTTTTCCTGAACTTGGGTTGTCACAATGATTCTTATGCAATCATTTCAAACATACAATTTCAGTTAGCAGATTGAAAAAGAAGCAGCAGTCGGACAGTAAAATGGTGAGCTCTCCCACACTAGAGACATTCAAGGTGAAACTGGACAGCCACCTGAGTGGGATGGTGTAATGTGGTGTCCTGCAACAGCAGGGGGTTGGACTTGATGGCCTTCATGGCCCTTCCAACTCTTCTATGAGTCTATGAAATATCTCTGTGGTTCTACAATAGCACTGTCTCTAGTTGATATTGTGAAACACAGTTTTAGTTTTACTTTCTTTAGTTGTCCAGATTGCTGCAGTACAGGGGGGGGCTGTCAGCAGGATAGGCCTAAATGAATCTTGTTTTTGGCATCCATGTCAGTGCAGGGTCTTATGGAAATGATGACTCAGATGAGTTGCATGTTTCACAAAATTGGATATAAATCAGCTAACATAGTTCTGCATACCTAGATATCTTTTAACTTTATTTTGTGTTCTGAGCTTACACATCTACTAAGTTATGCTTGCATTATTGGCAAGAGCCCCTCTGAGATTACTCTTATGATTCAAAGTACAACTGCATGCATGTTTATCCAACAGACCCACAAAGTTCAGTGGCGCTTCCTTCCAGGAAGTGTGCATAAGATTTCAGCCTAAATATATTATGGATTTTGTTTGGAATTAGTTGTATTTAGTTTAAGACTGTTCACTCTTATAATTTCCACTACAGTCTTTTGTGATGATAGCACTCCAAATTATGTCATATTTATGTATTCATTTATGTGATTTATATGCTGCTCAATTAGCCATAGGCTCTCTGGGTAGCTTACATACAGAGTAGAATCAAAAATACAATAAAACAACCTTTAAAGTAACCTTTATTGTAGTTGATGGATATACTCTTTATTTGTTTTGTGTCCTTCCTTGGAGTCTATGTACAATACAAGTATGGAGAGAGTGTATGGTTGTATTTTGGAACACACAGTTGCTGCTTTTGATTTCCAGGACAGGGAATTCATGTTCAAAACTTTTTACTAGAATGTCTGGCTCTCCATCCTTATTTCTCCACCTTTCTTCTGCCTAGTTACTACAGTGAACACAATCAGTTGGTTATTCTATTAATTTGATTATGACTTTGGCTGAAATTTGTTGTACTATATGTAGCTTTTTCTTATAGCTTGTGGGATGTTCAACGTAGCATGTTTTACAGGTATATTTTCCTTCAACCATTATTTGTACATTATGTCCCTGAAATGTAAATGCATCTTCATTGGTTTCTATCAAACTGATGATATCTGGTTCCTGTTTCACCCTCTGATTATTACAAAAATTGCAAAGTTGTTTCACATGTTCAGCAACAGCTGAAAGGCCGTAAGTTGCCCAACCTTGATCTATTGTGAATATAACCTTTCTTACACCATGCACTTTATA